TTCCCAGACAAATTATACAATTACCTTCAAAGCTTCTTCTGACATAAAATCTGTGGCTGTTTCTTTCCCCTTCAGTAGATGATTCAGCCCAAGAAGCTGCTTGAATCTTCCACCTCTAAGCAGGGGAGGTTTATGTGTCCTGCTCCAGGCTGTCACTTGTCAACAGAGATTGGATCTTCTGCTCTTGCCATGTTCAGGCTCTTACGGGTCTCACAGAGGCAAGAAGGAGATCTTTGTAACAAAGACTGCAATAAAATCCAACTGTCATCATCCACTCACTAGCACCCTGCATCCAGCTGCAACTCCTGGCATGAACAGAGAGTCAGTCTTTGCTTGAAGACAATTAATTAGGTAAAACAAATCTGCCCACTCTGCTCTCCCAGCAGCTTTTCTTTTTCCACTGTTCTCTTTGTTTTACTTCCACTACTTCCAGATCCATTTCTCCTTCCTGTCACCACCTGTGACCCATTCCTTGGCTTTCAAAGGGAAAATCCAAGGGGAGATAAGAGACCCTCTTTGATTCAGTCTTCTGATCAGCCTGCAAATTCCTTCTTAGCATCCGAGATGACTGAGGATGACCAAAAATCGGAGAAAATATATTACATCACTTCCATTATTTGGCTGCAACATACTTTAAAATATCTAAGTGACCTACGTGATGAGGGATCACTAAGTACTGGGGCTTTCTACCAACAATAAATTCCTAGTTTTGCATATAAACCATATTTCTTCAGCCCGTATTAACTGTGTGGAGTGTTTGCCCTCGTGCTCTGCCCTAACAACTGACTGTTACAATTCAGATGCAAAAATTACCTATGACAGAGGGAAAGAATGAATATATTCTCCTGCAGACTACCAGAGGAAGATTGTGATCTGGGAGGAGTTTGTATCTTGCCAGAAAAAGCAACCAGGAATCACTACAGATAAGGGATGGAGTCACAGAGATAACAACAAGTGCGGGTTTTGTTCTCCAGAAGATGTAAATGAAGATTAGTAACTGAGGAAGTAAGGCAGTAATTGTTTAGATTTTATAATATTGCTTTTGGTCACATTTGAAAGCAAAATCTGAGGGCAGAGAAAAGGAAAAGAATCTGATGATAATGGGGGGGAACATCTGCAGGATGGACTTTTTGTTACAAATTAGTACAAATGAGATTACCCTGAGGAGGCAGCGCCAAGAACAGGACATTTCTCTCCTCCTTCCTGTCCTGAGGGGCACTTGCAATGTCTGCTGCTTTCTATACCAAACAAGTGTGATTATGTACTTGGTTTCCTTGGCATCTGGAGCAGTTTGTGCCCTGACCCTGATAATCCCACACAGCCAACCCAAGATCCACTGCGGAATGTGAGGTGGATGCCAGCAACGCAACACAATGGGAATTGCTGTTTGGTTGTTGGTTGGTTGCCTTGTCAAGTTAGTCAGCTCCCTCAGCCACTCTCCCATGGCCAACTCCCTTCAAAATGCTCGGATACATCCGAGGAAAATATCAAAACACATCTTTGCACAGCATTTTAAATGGCATCAGAACACATCAGCTTAATCAGCCAACTCCAGGAGCACAGGATCGTCACCTACATGGCAGAGCAGGGGAAGCAAAACTTCCCAGAATAAGTGGGAACAATTGTATTAAAAACTATGGTTTTGGTAGACATTTTTTTTTTCTGATTGAAGTTAGGAAGGAAGGAGAAGTCTGTGTCTGCCCCTGAGGGATGGGGGAGAAGGTGACTGTTGTTATTCAGGTGATGCTGCAGGGGCATCCCCACCGACCCGGGGGAACTACAAAGTTCTCCCCTAAACCATCTCCACCAACACCACATCCAAACGACCCTTCAACCCCTCCAGGGATGGTGACTCTACCACCTCCCTGGGCAGCCTATTTCAGTGTCTAACTACTCTTTCTGTGAAAAAAATTTCCTAATGTCCAGTCTGAACCTTCCCTGGTGCAGCTTGAAGCCCTTCCCTCTTGTTCTGTCACTAATGACCTGTGAGAAGACACCAGGACCAACCTCTCTACAATGACCTTTCAGGTAGCTGTAGAGACTGATGAGGTCTCCCCTCAGCCTCCTCTTCCTCAGACTAAACATTCCCAGCTCCTTCAAGCCTTCTTCATCAGATTGATTCTCTAGGCCCTTCCCCAGCTTCGTTGCCTCCTCTGTCCTCGCTCCAGCACCTCGAGAT